CACTGTGGGAGGTCCCCCCATAGTATAGATACCCCCTCTGTACCACCCCACTCCCCATCTTGCTGTTCAATGACAGCCCCAATGCATTAACCTTTTAACAGACTCTAAACAGCAAAGAAAATAGTTGTAAGGCTAATTATGGCTAAAGGGCCCCTGATAAAGATCCAGGAAATAAGAGCTACATTGGAAGATTCTTTGGGCAAGATTATCAAGTAGGCCTCAATTTACACTCACTTGCTGGGTGACGAACGGTATCCATGCACCTTCACCAGTGCCAGCTTGCTCATTCATTCATTCAATACCACTTTATTGAAGTTCAACTGACATCTGCAAAACTATCACCACCATCTATACCATAAACATATCCATTACATCCAGAGTTTCCTCCCATACTCTTTATTTTACTTTTTTGTGATAACACTTAAAATAAGAGCTATCCTCTTAGGATAGGGGATTTTTAAGTATATAATATGGTATTATTAACTATTTCTATACAGTAGATCTCTAGGATTTAATCACCTCTGGCTCATCTGTTTTTAATTTGCTAATTTAAAAGGTGAAAATGGTACTTTATTGGTAATTTAATTTGCATTACTATGAGTTTGGACAGTCTTTTAAATGTTTACTTGTTGTTTGTAATTCTCTTCTTTTCATTGAGTGCCTACTATATTCTAGGCACTATTTTACGTGCCGGGGGTGTAGCAGTTAAAAGGCAAACACTTAGAGTTTACACTTTAGTGCAAGAAACATGATAAAAACAAACAAAAAACCAACAATTTTTAAAAAAAGCTACAAATACCATTTTGTGCTAAAAATATACATATAAAAACATTAACAGTAAGAAAGTGCCCTGGCTGGTGCGGTTCAGTGGATTGAGCACTGGCCTGTGACCCAAAAGGTTGCTGGTTCAATTCCCAGGCAGGGCACACACCTGGGGTGCTGGCCAGGTTCCCAGTTGAGGGTGTGCGGGAGGCAACCCGATCAATGTTTCTCTTGCTCATCAATATTTTTCTCCCTCTCTTACTCTTGCCCTTCCCCTCTCTCTGAAAATAAAAAAAATAAAAATTTTAAAGTAAGTAAGAAGGCAAAGCAAAGGGACTGAGGAAAGGGGTCCATTATTTTAAAGATTTTATTTATTTATTTTTAGAGAGAGGGGAAGGGAGGGAAAAAGAGAGGGAGAGACACATCAATGTGTGGTTGCCTCTCACATGGCCCTCAATGGGGGCCTGGACCACAACCCAGGCATGTGCCCTGACTGGGAATCGAACCGGCGGCCCTTTGGTTCACAGCCCGTGCTCAGTCCACTGAGCCACACCAGCCAGGGCAGGGGTCCATTATTTTAGATAGAGTAGTCAAAGAGAGGCTTTATGAAGAGGTGACATAGGAACAGAGACTGAATGGTACGTGTGCCATGTGGATTCTTGGGGGAGAATCCAAGCATAGGGGAAAGCAAGCCCAAAGCTCCTGAAGTGGGAACATGTTTGCGTGCTTGAGGAATAGTAAGCAGGCCAGTGTGGCTGGAGGCCAATGAACAACAGGCAAGAGCGGTGGTAGCAAACGGGGTTGGAGAGCTAGCAGGAGGCTGAATCATTAGAGGCCACTGAAAAGGCTTTGGATTTTATCCCAAGTGCTCTGGGAAGTCATTGAAAGGCTTGAGCAGGAGAGTGTTATGATCTGACTTACATTAATGTGGCTGCTGTGTGGAAAGGAGGCTGTGAGGAAATACAGGGAGACTAGTTAAGGGGTGAGCAATGATGTGATGACTCAGTATTAGCAGTATTGACAGAGAAGAGTGGCTTGTTTCAGGATATGTTTTGAAGAGGACTTCCCGATAGACTTGATGTGTGATATGAGAGGAAAAGGGGAGTCGAGGGCAATTCTAAGATGTGCTGTTTATTGTGACAGAGAAACATTTCAGGAGTAACTGGTTTGTGGAGGCAGAATTGAGAGTTTTGTTTAAGAAAACACTAAATTTGAGATGCACAAAGGACATCCAAAAGGAATTACTGAGTAAGCAGTAGTGTATATGAGTCTAGAATTTAAGGGAAGAGGCCACACTGAGATGTAAATGAAGAAGTCTTCAGTCACAAATGGAACCCAAAGCCGTGGACCTGGGGTGAGAGCCTCTGAGGAAGGAGGGCAGAGAAAAGAGGGCTAGAGGGGGTTTCCGTCTCTTCAGGCTGATCTGATTCGGGGCAGGATGGCCACTGAGGCAGGATCTTGGGGCTCTCACTGAACTGCCATGTCCTTTATATGCTAATGATACTGTATTTTGCCTGTTACTTCCAATACAAACATTTCCCCAATTTTCTGTTTCTGTTTGATTCAGTTTATTTCACTTCTGACATATCTACTTAAAAATAGTTGTATAGTAAAATCTACTAGTCATTCCCATTGTGGCTTCTTCCATTACTTTTAAGGTTAAAAAGCCTTGCAACAACTAGAGGTCACATAAGCAGTTGTATTCTATTTCTGCAGTTGCTTGTTTGAGTGCACTTTGATTCACTTGGAATTTATTTTAGTATGGGGTAAGGCTGTAAGCTGATACATTTTTAAAAGATTTATCAAGTTTCCTAGCACCACTTATTAACTCTTCCCTTGCTCACTGGTCTGTGACATCTTCACACAGTATGTTTCATTTGGTTCAATTTCAATTTTAAGCTTTGAAATTACAACAGAGATGATGAAAAATCTTCCTTCCAATTGTCAAAATAATATGCTTTGTGTAAGAATCTCAATGTGCTTACAAGGAAATACATAAAACCAACATTTCTCAGAAGAAAAATGCAGGGACAAAAAGCTAAATAAAAGAAAGATAAAACATGAAGGGGAGAAAAGGAAGGGCACAGTCCATTTCCTTTCTTGAAAAAAAAAAAAAAGGTACATGTTGAAACACGTAAATAGGGAATACAACTATACATACAACAATATTTGTCAAGTACCTGCCCAGTGCCACCTACGTATCACCTTAGGGACCATGAGTGGTTTGTAAGACAGGGGAAGTTGGGGAACAAATGATACATAGACAAATGAAGAATATAACCAGTTCAAAATGAATGCTATCAGGAAAACAAGGTTGGGCAACGGGCAGAGAGAGAGAAGGGAAGGAAAAGAACATGGAGAGGTTAAGAGCAGCTCTCTGACATGACTGTGTGGGCTGAGCCCTATGTGGAGAGGCCAGGGAAGATGATGGGAGGGGTGCTGCAGGAGCAGGGGAGAGCAGAAGGAGATGAGGTCAGAGAGAGAAGGTGCGGAAGAAGACGGGATCATTGATGGTAATAGGAAGCCTTTGCGGGAGGGGAGTAAGTGGGAAGCATAATGTAATTTGCTGTAAATTGGGAGTTCTTTGGCTGTTGTGACAAACCTAATCTGGGGCAGGGGAGAGAAGACAGGGAAGAGGGGAAGGGACTTCAGTTAGAAAGATTTTGTATAAATTAAGTGCCTAAAATACCTTGTTCTTTTAGACAAAACAAAATGAAGTACCTGACGTAACAGGGAGCAAATACAAGTGACTAGATTGTAAGATTCCTGAGGGCAGGGATTTTCGGCTGGTTTGTTCACTGTGTGTCTCCGATGGGTAGCGTGAGGAGAGTCTGGCACTCATTAAAAATTTGTTAAATAAAATCAACAAAGTGACTACAGGGAATAGCCTTCTATTTGTGAAACAAGAACCAGATGAAATGAACATTAGAAAAGGGCTTCTGAGAAGACTCCTGGGCCATAAAACTGGTCTCATAATTACACTGTGCATCACAGTGGGAGGCAGATTTCAATCAAGGATGGGTAATTTAAAATAACATTGCACTGAAACACAGTTCAAAATACAAGTTTACTGCTAATACTTAATTCTAAACATTGTACTAACATGTTTACTTGATTTTTGCCACTGTGGGGAAAAGAGGACAGTGTCACAAAAGTTGGGGTTTGGGAAAGTTAGCTTAAAATCATCAATAAGTACATGTATTAGAAATCTTACTCCAAAGTTTCTGTCTTTTTCAATCCAAGTTAAATATTCTCTATCCTTGCTAGTTGTGTTTTTTTAAAAAATAACACTCCTATCTCTTCTTTTGTTTTATAGAAAAAAAATACAAGTTCAAATTTAGCCACCTTCTTGTGCACTTCTCATCCCGTAGATGGTGAGTTTCTATGAGGCAGGAAGTATGTCTGCTGTTTAACTCCCCCAGTAAGAGCAGAACACACTGTGTGCATGTACTCCACAAATGCATATTTAAGTTGCTGAATTCCAACTGAAGAGAAGCTAGCACCAAGGCAAGATGCTTAAGGAAGAAAATGCGGACAACTTGGCAGCATTTATCATTACTAACATTTTAGGTTCCTAGAGTAAACTTTGAAATTACATTCTAATTTGAGATGGTTCTGGTTTGACAAGTTAACTCTTGAGACATCTGAGTACAGTATTATGAAAGAACAAAACTGTTCATCAACCCTTTATGCCAAAGTTAATTTCTTTTAAAAGTAGGATTTTAATGTTCTTTAATTCCTACAGTGACCCTTAAAGTTTCTGTGTATGCAATCACAAATGCACACACAAGATGCATTTATAAGCTTATTGTGTAGTTCGAAAGACAGTTGGGAAAATCAATTTTAATTTTGTTACTGAAATAATTTAAAAATATGTTATAGAACTGCCTCTTTTCAATCAACAGCAAGGATCTAGAAAGAGATTACACAAGTAGGCACACTTTATTTAGGTTTATTAACGTTGGAAACGTAAAGTTGCCTGACTTCAAATTGTGGAAGTACTCTTATTTAATTTTTTGTCTCACTACTGACATCAATGCATATCATTTTCTTATGCCTTTAAAAAAAAACTTGGATAAAAATACTTGAATAATTTATTTAACAAAGATTCATGATATTCATTAACCGCTGATATGCTAAAAACTAGAAAATTCTTTTCAGCAGATGGGCAATATTTCCTGACGATCTCTGAGAATATTGTTGGGACTTATGCCTTTCATCGGAGAAAGAGGACTCACCGGCTTTTATCCATGAGGTCTGCTCCCCGTGCTTTATAATAATCTAAGTTTGGATGGAATTGGTAAGTCACTGGTCTCGGATTTTTCTATAAAAGAAAGAATAAATTAAAATGTATGAAGCTATTTATACTATACATTAACATATAAAAGGACAAAATGATTGTTTTAATATTCTTTCAGAAAAAATACATAAAATAAAGAAGTTTAATAATTAGTGTGCTTGCTTTTATTGTTGAAGTTCTGTAACTGATAGTCCTGACTAAAGATTGAAAGTGTTTTAATATCTTTTTCTTTTACTTGCCTCATAGTCCATATAGATTTATTTCTGTCATTAAGTTTATTTTTGATGATTTTGATCACTTTCAGTATGACTTTTCAAAATACAATAAGATAATATCACAACAAAACTGAGAAATGACGAGATTTCAGGGGAGCACAATCTATGCTAATGGACCAGGAGATACAAAGTGTCAAGATCCTTGGATTTTGGAGGAAGACTAAGAGAAATGCGTCAGCTTCTGATACAAACAATGCTAAGTATGCCCACTAGATGGCACACCGAGTCTTTCTTCTCCTGAAATGAGTAAATTATTTTAAGAATTCAGCAACTCTTTTCAAGTTAGCAATTTCTATGTCATCTATTCTTACAGACGAGTTTAATAAGTGCCCAACTAGTGAAAATATTAGCAGGGTATCAGCACAATACAAAAGCAAATTGACCAAAAAGCACATATTCATAAAAGGAGCAATACATTGTCCTTTCTCATGTTTAACATTATTTATAAACACTGCAGGAATGTCCTTGAATCGTAGGTCAGGTGTGTCTAAAATGTTGCTATTAATGTAATGTGTCTATTTATTTAGATGTATCAAGTTCCTCGTAGACAAAAAACTAACCTAGTTTATAAAAATGTAACATGTTAATAATGCATTACTCAAATGAATACCATCATTTCTAAAATGTTAAATTGCATCTATTTTTATTTAAAAATTTTAAAAACTTATGTGTTCCAATGTTCCCCGGAGCACATAATTAGGACGTTGAACCAGGCTATGTCCTGTCCTTGAAGAGACCCATCTAGACACAGAAAGGCTGCATTTAATCTTAGCAGAAGATTACCAATATGTTTTTATATCAATCCTTGGAGACATAATCCTAAAGCACTGATACACTTGCATGCAGGCGGGGGTATATAATTGCTAAGGTTAAATAGTTTGAAATTCATCAAGCTAACAAGCTGCATCTTAATGGCCATGATGGACCTTTTCTTTTCCTGCTGAAAAGAGGATATTTACACAGCTCAACCCTTTCATATCTCTTCCAAGTCAGCCCTAATCATCTAACAAAAATGACAATCCCTTGATTTAGCTCCAGCTACTACTCCACTGGTTTGGTATTCAACACACAGTTTTAAAATAATCAAATCTGAATTGCCTTGATGAAGATAACTGATGCTTCCATGACTACCATACTATTAAGTCTAACAGTGCAACTTTTCTCTCTCGAGGAATTAGATCGGTTTCCCTGTGGTAGCTGATGACAACCTGGACTCAGTGCAGTGGGAAAATCAAACAGAGGTTAAACCACTGGCAGATCGTCAGTGCATCATGGTTTATTTTAAAAAATTAACTTCCCCAGGACCATCCCTCATGACTAATTTTGTCCTTTATTCTCAGTACCTGGAAATACATTTTGTTTTTGTTAATACAAAAGACCTTTCTTCTCTGACTTCCAACAAACTAATAAAGGATTAGGTTACCTTTTGCTAGAAAACAATGAAAGAGGGGACAGCACGGAGCAGTTTCTTGAAACATCTTTATAAAGAAATGACAAGCAATTCAAGACCGAAGTGCTGATCTACCTAAGCACTTAAAGCCATTATTAGGAATAATGATCTAACTTGAACATATGAATGAGGCTCAAGTATTGCTTTCACTGAGGCCTATTAAAATTCCTGGGAGACTCACTAGTATCAAAGGAAGATGCAGTTTAAAGTACCACTATGCTGGGACTTAAAAAAAAAGAATCAAAAGAGAATGTTGAAAAACAGCATTTGTAATGTAAGAAAATAAAATCAGAGGTTCTAGTTAAAAGCTATTCAACAGGGCTTCCTGTCTGAGAGGATGATGCTGTTACTAAAACATCAGGTATGCAGACATACAGATGGCCAATGCTAGTACTCACTGTCCAATGGAAATACAGGGTGTGTCATAAGCAAAAGCTTCATTTGTAATTTAAATTTTTCCTAGTAACCACATTACAAAAAGAAAAAAGAAACCAGTGAAATTAAGTGTAACAGTATATTTAGTTAATTCAGTATAGTCAAAATATTGTCATTTTAACATGTAATCAATATAAAAAGTATTGAGCTGATATTTCACATTCTTTCTTCTGTACAAAAGCCTTTGAAATCCAATGCATATTTAAAATTTATAGCACATTTCAATTAGGGCCAGTTGCCCTTTAAATGCTCAGTTGTTACATGTGGCTTACGGCTTGTGTGGACAGCACAGAACCAAATATCTGGCATATATGTTAACCAGTGTGTAGCTGGCTATAAAAATCAATATATACAGACATGAATGAAAAGGGCATTATATTAGTTTAAATTATTTTTATTATATTAGTTTTATCTCTTCTAAATAAGGTCTTAAAAAGTCAAGAAAATTTGGAACAATATCTTCTCATACTACAATGTACCAAAATAGCAGTGGTACCTTAGGGGAATGAGATTAAATGAGCAGAATTCTAACTTTATGCACCTGAAACATTTTAAAAGTAAAGAGAAACTTGGTTTTCTTACTGTAAAGAATATTTTTCAAAAAATTTTAAAATTATTTTTATCCTCACTGAGGACATGCTTATTGATTTTAGAGAAGGGGGGAAGGGAAAGAGGGAGAGAGAGAAGTATCGACTGGCTGCCTCTCATACACTCCGGACCAGGGATTGAACCTGCAACTTAGCCACATGCCCTACCCAGGAATCTAACTCGCAACCTTTCCATTTATAGGATGACTCTCCAGCCAACTCAGCCACACCGGCCAGGATTCCAAATACAATTTTGTAGAAATGTAACAGTTCTGATTTTTAATTTTTAAAGACCTGGAATTCCCTCCAACATATAGAAGCCACTAGGATTTTGCATATTTGAAGCTTTGTATGTAAGAAAGACCAGGCTACATAACAGTTGTAATTTCTCCTTGGGCAGAGCATGAGATGTCTACGACTTTAATGGTATGCCTTTGCTTAGATTGGAACAATCAGTACTCAATTTAAACCCATTTTCACATAGTCATGATTCCAACTATTATAAGCTTTTCCAAACCAATGCACATTAAGAAAAGCTTTTGTTTTGGTGGCTTTTTTCTTTGCTAGGAAGATAGCAAAACGGTAATCATATCTTAATTCATATCAGTCTGTGTACAGAGGAATACCAATTATGTTCCATGACCTGGGGGAGTCTAGGTCACTACGTGAAGATACTGAAATCACAAGCCCAGTCTACCGTGGTTTACCATTCCTTTCCTAGACCACCCAGATGGCCTTTGAAATAAGTCTACAAGATTGCAGCTGGTTAACTTCCCAAGTACCACTCAATTCTTCTCTGTTAACAAGCTGGTGGAGTTCTTCTTAAAGTTTCACATTAACCTTTTTTTAAGGTAATATAAGAAGAATGCTGAAATTTACACCTGTGGCATAGACAGGCTGGTTTTGGGGAAGCAACTTAAAGCTCCGTGGACAAAATGACTTACAGAAGCAGAGATACTGGTAGAAACAAGTGACCCAGAGGGAACTATATGGAAAAACCAAACCAAATCAAACCTATGCTGTACGTCTGAATTTCCAAAACACTTTTGTTAATTTGGCATGATCACAAAATCAATTTGCAAACAGTACTCGATACCAACAATCAATATAAGGGATAAAACTAATTGACATCTATCTAATCTTGCTGTTATAGTTCACGTTCTTCACTTCTAGGTCTATATTATGAGAGTAAGCTTGTTCTTACTGTAATTTCAGGTAAAACAAACACCCTGTCCCTTTCTGAGTCTGACTTCTGATGGCAGACAAGTCCTCTCTGCTCTATTCTACTGGAAGTCTACAGATCAGCATATAACCCTCTTCCCCCTGCCATCCTCACTCCTGTGGTACCACAGTATTTTAAGTTCGAACTCAGTTTGCCGTAGTAGTATACAAATAGTTAAATGCTCATCCACACTAGCTACAACTAACTACAAGATGCTACAAGAAGTACAATGAACTACAAGGTGGTGTGCAACACGTTTCCTTGTTCTGAGCCTGGTGCAATGAAACTCATCCAACAAAGGTCATTATAAACAGTACTTTCTAGATTGATCCCCTACCTCCTAACCCTCACTTATAGGTGATTACCTCCTTTTGAATGGTTACATGGAAACTCCAGAATAAAAGGTTCTGAAGTACTCATCCTGATTTGAACAGCACAGCACCTTGCGAGGGCTGACTATTCATAAACACAGAACTGAAAAGAGCCAAAGAAAAGCAAATCTAGTGATCCCTGTTCTAATTTATGAACGTACCAGAAGAAGTTAAAGAAGAGTTTGAATTACATGTTAAAAACAAAGAGACTAGGGTAAATGTAACGCCTCACTTGCTTTAAAGGCCCAGGACGCCTGGTGGGGGAGGCAGGGGATCAGGAGCCAGTGAACCTCCTGCTCCATCCACTCCTGGCTGCTGAGCCACTGAGAGGAGTCAGTTCCACCCCCAGCTTCCGTTTCCTCATATGCAAAACTGCAGCGAGGACTAAATGAGACAATGGACATTGAACATACAGCACAGTACTGGGCACTTGATAAAAATGCAGTATGATGGAAGCTAAGATTACCTTCTGATGCAACTGAGCACTCACAAACAGACCTTGACTTTGAGAGCAGATTTCATAGCTTAATAACTTAAAGTCCAGGATAACAAATGGGAAGAGAAAGTGATGTTTCATACTTCCAATGATCCTATTTAAATTTAGGGGAGATTCTTCTAAATGATCCATTTTTAAGAAGTAAAAACATATATTTAGGAAAATATATCACACACGCACTGGATCTC